GGGATTGATCCGGGGGGAAAGTGGGGGGTGCAGGAGTTCGTGTGCGAGCACTGCGAGGAGGCGTTCGAGCCGACCGATCTGGACGCGGACGGGAGCGCCGGTAGGGAGCGGCGCTTGCGGTGCCCGGGTCACCCCAACGGGGAGCTGCGCGTCTTCTACTCGCCCGTGAGGGGCGAGTGGGGCGGGTTTTACTCCTGCTGCAGGAAGCACGTCTGCTTCTGCATCCCCCCCGAGGCGGTAGTCTAGACGCTAAGCTGGAGCAACAACGGTGGCTTGGTGTGTTTGGGTTTTGTTTACATAGCGATAGGTCGGTGGCTCGGACTGTTTTTGGCGGGGTGTGCCCCCTTTCGACGAGCAACAACAATAGCGGCAGCAGCCGAGTTTGGGGCGGGGTTAGCCCCCCATCTAGATATCACACATGAGAGTCGATCTACTGCTGTAGGCAGATTTCACCAACACGTAGTCCCACGGAACTTGGAAGGCCACACACCTCTTGCCAAGTCCTACTGTAGCATTTTCAAGCTTTTTTCATCCCAATTGGTTTTGGTTCTGCAAGAAAAAGCGTCTCTGGAATCTCCTCAAGGGATCAAATTTTCGATCATATCGAGGTTCACGACCGTTTCGACCTTGAAAGAGGCCGCGTTTTATTCGCCGGTTTTTGGTAGGAATAGATTTGTGTTTCAACTTTTGGAGGGGGGACGGCGAGGGTAGAATATCTCGCAGCACATTCGCGTTAGTGTCACGAGGTCTTGTGACGTACTTTTGTTTTGGGGTCTTTTAGGAGTTTTCTGTCTCTAAGGTTGGAAGTTGTGTCGGGCATGCTCACGAGCAGCACCAGCAGTTTGTTCCCGTGTCGCCGGCGTTAGTCTAGATGTTGGGCCATTCGAGAAACGAGTTTTGTTAAATAGTTTAGACTTTTTCCTTGGCTCCTCGTGACCACTTGCGTGGTGACACAGGCGTGAGAGGCAGCAACTAGTTCGCGCTGTTGCTCTTTTGGGCCTTGCTTGTATTTGGTATTGTTACTCAGCATTGTACCTTTTTTTTTTTTGCAACCCGTCCCTTCGACTTGACCAACGCGAACGTTGCGGTGCAGCGATTTTTCCCAGAAACATACCGCGGCAACTCTGCCAGAGTCTGATTGGCTGGAAGAGCTACGTTGGGCTTCGCTTTGGGACAGGCGCTTTGAGCTATGATAGGGTCAATTTTTCTCGCCCTTCTGTGCATGTTTCATGTGCACCACCAGGCAGGATGGAACTGGGGCTTTTGTAGTCGTGGTATCTTGTTGTAGATAACAAAGTGTAGGACATCATCACACGTGGTGGGCTCGCTGTTGTTTTGCCTTAAGAGTGGAACAGCTGGGTCACGAACGGGACATCGGACGGGACATCATCCGCCCCAGGCCCGAGCCCGTGCTGCAGATAGATTGCGACGGGGTCTGCCGGAAGAGGTGGCTTTCTTGTTCGAGCTGAATGCTCTTGTGTAGCTGAGGGGTAGGAAAAAGAGGTGGGTAGCAAGGATCGGTTTCAGCGATAATCGATTCTTTGTTCTTGGTTTCCTGGTTCTGCACATGCTAAGACCCCAAAATACCGGCCGGGACACGAGGAGGTTCTCTCTCGGCGAAAGCTTGCAAAGGCTAGAGACTTCTCCTCCTCGCTCCGCGACCGCTCCTGCTTAAGCATGCAACCGCCCTGTATTGCAGGATAAATATTATATTGGCAGAGTCGTTCGTCTCTGGGATCCATTTCGACTCCGTAGAGGCATTTAGTTCGTGCAGAGTCCCCGGATATTGTCCAGGGTAGGCACTGCTGCTTCGACTACCTGGTAAGCTTCTGGGAGACTTCTATATGCGCTCCATTTCTCCCTCGCGCGGTGATGGGGAATCTCCGAAACGGGGGTATCTCCGAAAAGAGGGGATCTCCGGAGCTAGCTGACACGTGTTTTCGTTGCCGGAAAGACGGGTAAGATATTCAAGATTGCGCCCCCCCATCCACGAGCATGATGGTTATGTACAGGCAGCATCCAAGAGTAAGAGGAGTAGATTGTAACAGCGATGAGCCATTGGCAGGAACCAACCCGATCAGTTCAATCCAAGCACTCCGACAACAGCTCCTGCATGCATGTGGGCCACAAAGACTATGTGACCATCATGGTTACAAACAATAGTCATAGTCTATGGTGTGCCACGTTAGGCCGGTCAGGGGTCCCGCTGTAGCCCTACGCTAGGCGGCGGTGGTGGTGCCATCGCCAGGCCAAGGTTGTTTTTTCCCATCCCGAGTGCCCCCCTCTGGACCACGGTTCGGTCCAGTCTTCTCTTTGTGAGGTCGCGATACAATACAAGGTGTCCGTGTGTGCGTCTTCAGTCGTCGACCGTAGCCAATGATGACTGGACACGTCAGTCAGTCTTCCAGCGGGATTTTGTATAGGACAGGACACATTGTTGAAGGCGATGACCTGGTGCCCCGTGATGTGGGGTCACGTGGGTGTGCGTGTGTGCTATTTGCTATTAACAGCTTGGTAGAAGCGGCCCAAAATCATCAACGGAACGCTTTGCTGACCAAAGAGACCCAAGTTTATTCCTCTGAGTGATGGAACGTTCGGCGAACCTTCACAAAACAAAATAAAAGCGTCACATCAACACAACTTGCTCCTACCGAATAAACAAACCGATACCAAAACTATTTCTGGTCAAAAGAGGCAAAACAACATGGTACAATCTGTGGTACTCCGTAATAGCTTACAAAAGAAGAGTGGTAACATAAAACACACAATAAAATACGCGTAGTTCGACGTACGTGAGAGCGGAGGCCCGCACTCTGCTTCTGGTCTTACTTCTTATTCCTCGCCCCTCGCCTTGACCCCCCCCGTCCGTTCGTCCCTCCGTCCCTCCGTTCTGCCAAACTTCCCATGATCCCAAGCCTCTCAAAGGGAAGAGTTTGCAATAGAGAAGACAGCAATGAAGCTAAATGCTTTGGCGAAAATACGGCAGCCGCGCCAAGAGCACTGGATCGAGGCACGGCGTGGCTCCGTCTCACCATGACGAGGGCTAGCGCAAGGCGCTCCTTCTGATCTGAGCCCCTACACACGGGCAAATCAACTGCCCTCTTGTACATCCAGCAAGCAAATCAGGCCTCGAAATAGTCCATCCACTACCACCACCACCAACAACAACAACAACAACAATTACCGTTATAAAGTCAATGATAGGCAAAACAGGCTGCCAATGGAGTGGACGTTTGACCATTCAAGTCGATTCATTTACACCGTCATCGCAGCCACATCCCCCCAGTGTCGGTCGAGGGCGGCGACCACCGTCTTGAACTCGCTCTTGTGCTTGAGCACCTCGTGCAAGACGCCGTCATACACCTTTTTATCAAAAGCAGTAGGGCGTGTCGCCCGTGCGACACGTGCGTCCAAAAAGAAAGAAAAAAAAAAAGAAACGATCCAACGACACGGGAGGGAGAAGGACGTGTACAAAAGATAGGATCGCATGGCATGGTCACCAATCGAGACAAAAAGGGTGTCCAAGAGGACATGGGAGGGAAGACAAACAAGCTGTACTAATTGTATGTTATGTGCCACCGTCGACCAACGCGACGAGACTGCCGGAGAAAGAGTGCCAATGCTGCTATGACAAACTGTGGAAACACCGCACGAGGCGCACAGTATGTTCCTGCACTGACATGACATCGTCAGTTCTCTGTCTCTGTCTCTATCTGTCTCTGTCTCTGTCTCTGTCTGCCTGTCCGTCTCTCTGTCTCTCTGTCTCTCTGTCTGTCTGTCTGTCTGTGTCTCTCTCTCTCTCTCTCTCTCTCTCTCTCTCTCTCTCTCTCTCTCTCTCTCTCTCTCTCCATGCGTGGCGCGTGGCCCCGCAGAATACAGCGGGGGTGCACTGCTCCAACCACACTACCGGCAAAAACGTGTCCCGCCCGGAAACTGCCCCACCGTCAAAATCCTCGTGCCTCATGTGCATCGCCACCACCAAACACACAACCAGTACCACGTACCTCGAGGTTTACAGAGCTGCTGCCCGTCAGCAAAGACTTCATCTCCTCGGCCCCCGAAGGGTACGCCATGTCGTCGTCGCCCCCATGAATCAGGAGGACAGGCACCGAAACCTGATTTTCATGTTTTTTTTTTTTTTTTGGGGGGGGAGGGTTCCAACGCAGGTGTTGAGTTGAACACACACACACATACGGAGTGTCTGTTTTTTATCTGGAGAGTAGCTTAGCCTCCTCCATGACACGCCCTTACGGGGCCCCAGATCATGGCTTATAGAACCAATTTCTGTTTTGCGGGGCGCACTGAGACTGACGTCATTTCATTGATCTGCCGGTTAGCAGCGCACACGCACACTCACACACGACTTCCGCACCGCGTGCATCATGGGTTTTCGCACCCGTCTCGCGTACGACGACGAAGCACGTAAATAGGACGTACGTACGTGCCACGCAGATGCCACAATTCGCCTTGCACGCAGGCACACGCACCAAAAAAATTGAGACGCACAACAATCCCCCCCAAGAGGGCGGGTTGCCCGAGAAAAGGCGGGTGCGTGCGTACCGCAGACAAGACAAATCATCTAAGGGGGTGTTGTGTCCTTAAGCAGTAAGCGTCGAAACGTTGGATATCCCAGCCTCTGCACCCCACGGGGGGGGGGGGGGAGGGGCTCCGGTGCTTGAGCCGGGGGGAGGGCAATCGCGCCACAGAACAAATGCGACCAACAGGTATTGTTGGTAGAAAACCAGGGAGTTATTCCCGACAATGTCAACATAGTTTTATCGTGCCAAAAAAGATTAGTCTTGTGTCTCCGCGGATCAAGCACGCACGCGTGAGCGTACGGTCCGCGCCCGTCCGTGATCTCGATCGCTCGGCATCCCGCCCGCCCGTCCGTGATTTCGATCGATCGGCATCCCGCCAAAAGACACACAACGTTTTATGGTGCTTGGGTACAATACCCGATCTGGGCAGTATGCGAGTGAGGGGGTATCCATGCGGTTGGGGGATCCAACCACGGGGCCCCCGAAACAGCTTACGCAGTGTGCTTCCTGGCACTAGGCAAACGTGTTAATGATGTGTGTCTGTGTGTCCTTGGGCACACGCTCTGCTCATGCATGGAATATGTTTGCTTGCCATCTACTGTGATAACTTGGGGCCGACACGCATCACAAAACAAGTATGAACAGGATGGATGCAACCACGTTCTTACAGTCATGCTCACAATCAACACGTTTGAGACACGGGCCGATTCCTACGGCATGGTACAAGATCAAACAGTAGGTGTGTTTGCTGAGAGAATTGCAAAGAGATTACCATGTTTTCTGCGGGCGAAAAGACACAACCTCAACCGAAAGGTCCGACCCGCCTCCCACGCTGGAAAAATAGGGGTACGTTGCGTAAAATAAAATGCTTTCCGTTGGCGAAACAATGGCATCTGAACATCATTCTTCTTCGTACAGTAGAAAAACGAACTTTGCGGTTTTCCTTTGACCAAACAAGCACAGCTGGAATGTAGACCACGCTACTTGCGTGATAACGAACCTTGCAGGCGCTCTGCTTGGCAACTTGCACGAGCTTGAGGACCTCGAAGGCCGTCTTGTTTCGAACGCTTCCCTTCACCATGAGCGGGTCCACGGCAGCCTCTGGCTTAACCTCAGGGTCGCTTGACAACGCTCCTGCAGCACCGAAACACGAAACACAAAGGAATAGTTTTTTTAGGGGTATCGAGATAGTTTGATAGCGATCGTGCAGCACAAAAAACAAAAAAGTCATGGTTACCCGCGTATCGGGATAGTTTGATAGCGATCCTGCAGCACCAATAAACTAACGAGCAGAGTGGCGGGTATCGATCGGGGTGATATGACAACGACCTTGCAGTACCGGACAAACAAAACACAGAGACCGGTATACCCCGGGTATCGGGGTCATTTTACATCGAGATCCTAGATTTCTCTTGCACCAAACAGAACCAGGAACGCTTGTCTGGTATCGGTGTATCGCTTGATAGCGGCCCCGCGTCATCATCATCATCATCGCACACTTCCTCCCTGGGGATTCCTGAACGCATGTGTAAGTTAGGCACGCTCTGCAATACACGGCCATCTTACATGGAGGTTTTGAACCTCAAAAATGGCGCGAATTTGTGGGTTTGAGAACCAATTATTGAGTTCCAGTTCCAAGTGGGTAATGGGTTAAATATTAGTTATCCAAAGCGAAAACAACCGCTACAGCAGCCGCGGCATCAGCAACAACAGCCAAAACATCAGCACAACAAACAACCACATGCGATCTAATCGCTGATCGTACGGATTTGCATAGCGTTTGTCTCCGATAGAGCCAGAACAAAAACTGCCACCGCGAAAGACCCCCCCCCCGCGAATGAACTATTTCCCCCTCTCATCGTGTACTACCCTATGTAAACAAGTGTCATTCACGCCTAGTATTGGCACGTACCCTGGTCGAGCGGCGCCGCGGGCCCCCCGGGGTCCATCCTGGCCAACATTCCGGACAACCTTCGGACCAGCCCAGATGCTCTGACAAAGGAAGGAGAAAACGAACACAAGGACAGAATGGCTCATCCCACAAAAAAGCTCGCTTGGGGGTTTACCGGAGAATTCCGGACTTCATCGGAGAACGTGGGGTTCAATCGGAGAACTCGGGGTTTTAAGGGGGAGCAGAAGACGAATTTTGACGTTGACAAATTTTGATTGAAGCATGGGAAAAAGAGCACCCAGTGTCACAACCCCTTTTCTGCACCCCCTTAACTGACCAGGCAAGTGGGTCACAGGGCAGGCGCCGGTTGGGCCAAAAGACGAACAAGAACAAGGAGAAGTGACACTGGGTGACGGTAAAGCATGGTGTCCTCAATCAACCACGGCAGCGCAGTGCTCGAGTCGAGCAACGCAAGAGCGAGTCAAGACAGGGCGACGATGATGATCATGACCTCAGCAACAACAAAGCAGTAGTAACACCACCACCAACAACAACAACAAACAAACAATAACATCAACGACGACATTAAGTCACATGCATCTGGAGTTTCGTGTGGAAGAAACATTCAGAGAGAGACACAGAGAGAGGCAGAGAGGGAGGGAGGGAGGGAGGGAGGGAAAGCTCACCGGTTGATCGGGTAGAGGCAACGAAGGCCGAATGGGCTTGCGGACCCAGGTCCAGGGACGATAGGACAACCTGCCCGAACATAAGACAAGACAAGACAAGACACGACAAGACAAGACACGACAAGACAAGACAAGACAGGCGAGCCAAGTTACAGAGACAAGTGCGAAGCTGAGTGAGCCAAAACAGGTGTGCCGTGTACACGTGTACGGTGTCAGCCACGAGGAATTGCTGCTGCGTCGCGAACAGGTCAAGTCGTTCCCGTTCTCCTGCCGGAGTGCCAACACAACACAACACAACACGCCTTTTTCATCTCTTCTACGTTACCCTTGCATCACCATCGCGGACATTCAAACTTCCGTCGCGAATCCTACCACCACCACCACCAACAACACCACCACCGCCGCCGCCGCCGCCGCCAACAACAACAACAACAGCGACAACAACACACCAGAGAGCGCCAGCTTCTTGACCCGGGGACCAACGGCAGCGTGCTCCGTTAACGTTGTCGCCGAAACCGTAGCCACGAGCGCCCCCATGGAGTGCCCAAGTATCATCACGGGCAAGGTTTTGTCCTCTTCCTGGTCAACCTGTAGAACACCACGTACAGTACACGCAGACAACAAGAATGGAAGTGCAACTGTCGCCGTCTTAGTTGCTCGCTGCCGCTGCTGCCGTTAACTTCTGCTTTCGTCACAGTCACAGAACAGGCCAACCACCAACTTGAAATGCACGAGCCCGTCGGCAACCTTGCCGACAATTGCTGCATGCGTGCAGCCTCCGCTAACGAAAACGACGAAGAAAGAAAAAAAGAAACCCAGCTATCCGCGAGAAAACCCAAGCCAGAGAAGCACAAGAGGAGAGAAACACATAGACAAACAAGTTAACCTTAACCTACCATTTTCGCTACGAACTCCGTGAAGTCGTCGGTCATCCGCGAGTGGTCTTGAACCATGCCGGAGTTGGTACCGCCACCTTCGACGGCCTCCACAGTCCTGCGGGAATTTTTAGTCGATACAATTTGTGGCGTTCGTTGATCAGGGAATAACAAAGTGAGGCCTTCCTCGGCCCTTGCCATCGACACTACATCAATCCACACGAAGCGACGTGCTCGCTGTCTTGTGGCGCGCCGCCTGTTGTTTACAAGCGCGACGCGAAGGTCCAAGTTCCTTGCGGTTCTTTACGTCGTGCCAGCCGAATGTGAAACGCTTGGTAATGCGCAAATCAACCCAAAAGCATACACTGCCACAGTAAATGCAAGGGTGATGAACGGTTTCTAATTCATGCTTGTGAAGCGTAGCCTGGGCCAGCGATAACCCGGCTTCACGCTCCGTCCCGGCAGTAGGGAGGCGATGCCAATGGCCTAACGACTATGGCATGCGTTTACACGAGCACACCGCCTCCAACAGATCTGCCGCTAAGCACAGCAGCGTTTTTTCCAGTTAAGAAAAGGTGTCAGAAGCCTTAACCCGAGTGCACACAAAAAACAACAACAATTGCAGGGCACCAGCAGCGGCAAAAACAACCAACTCGCCATGCCCCTCGTGGGAAACCCCTCAAACAACAACAGTGTGGTTTAACCCTTGGTTCTGATCGTCCAAAACTAGGCAAGAGCTCTTGCTAATCCGAAGAAAGCTCTTGCTAATCCAAAGAAACCTTGCGGTTTGGGAATGGGGGGGGGAGTCACGTTTAAGCGGGCACGCGGCGCTCCGAGTACCGGGACGCGTGACAATCTACTCGACACAAAAAAAACAAAAATAGCGGCGGCGGCGGCGTCTCCACGGATTCTCACCACGTGTTTTTGGCGGGCCTATGTACGAATACTCACAATCCATGGCCGATGTGATCATTTGCGAAGACGACGTAGCCTTTCTCGGTGTAGTGGTGCGCCAGCTTCGACCAACGTCCGCTGTGACTGTGCAGCCCGTGGGCGATGAACACTTTGAAAAAACAGCAATTATGATATGGGGGCAGCAATGACGCGCAGCAGACGGGATGAAACAGCCTTGAAGCAAGAACGTATCAGCACAGCAGCATGAGCAGATGTATCTACTTAGCGCCTCCACTAGGTTTAGAGGCGGGCGTTTCGACGCCTTACCGGAATCAAGGCGATGCCACCTCCTACTGTACGAGGCAAAAAAAAACAAGAAAACAAAAACGCACAAGTTTTTTTCCATTTTTTTCCCATTCTACCTACCCTTCCGTCTCTCCTGCCTGCTGTTTATCCGGGGCCATGCAGACGATAATATTCCCTCTGCGGCGTATGCCTGAAAACGCTTTCGATGGGAGATAAATCAGCTCAACCGCGTTTGCCTCCAACAAAAGCGAGTAAAAACACAAGCGCTTCGCTGTTTAGGTACGAAACTCGGACTGCTGTAGACGCGCTTTCTCGGGGATCGAACTCCAGGCACTACACACTGCTACACACTGCTGTCTGTGAGGTCTCCTTCTCACGCCGAAACTGTAAGGGCACAACTTTCCACCGACTGGCGCTGCCCGCACAACAGCTTCCCAAGCGCTCACGCATAGCGACGGCCTTGGACTGAGGAGCCCACCTCCTGTACCAGACGCTCCCCTCTCGCCTGCCGAGCAGGAATAACGGGCCGGACAAACAAGCGGACAGGGGACGGGGGGGGGCGGACTTGCATGGGGAAGAGGAAGGGCGAAAGGGGAGTGCTTTCTGCCCTCTTCTGAGGGGTGCATAGAGTAGGTAAACGGGGTCGTTCGGTGTAAACAGCTTTCGCGTACGGCAGCCTGTCTTTCCCGCTATGTGTGCATATGTGTCTTTCTTGCCAGCATCGACTGCGCTGACCGGCTGACCAATGAAAAGACGTCAGTCTGAGTGCGGTTGAAAACACGAAACACTTCTAAAGGCCACGATCTGGGACCCTGTGGCAGGGGGTCAAGGGGGAGTCTACGCTACTCCGGATTAAAGACAGACACCGTTGGATAGCAGTAACAGAAGAAAACCAAACGTGTTTACCATGGCTGCTACTACTACTTTGGACACGCGTTCGTTTCGGATTGCTTTCATCGTCTTCCCTGCCTTTACTGCCGCCACTCTCGTCGCCAACATTCCAACTACGTTTTGACAGACCTTCTCTATGTACATGTCGTCCTGCAGCGTTTGTCGTGAGCAAGTTCATCTGGCTCAAACTTTTGCTTTCTTCCACGCCATGCATCGTCCCCCTTTCTTCCCTTTCCCTTTCCTTCATCTCCTCCGTCACTCCCAAAAGAACTACCCTCAATGCCATCGCCATCCTTTTCACCAGAACTACTATTTACACTGAAATCCCAACCTATTGGCCGTGGTGGGAATTGGTCGATCAGTAGTCCATGGCGTTCGAAAACACCACGAGCTCGCACAGACAGAAAACGAGCCAGCTCGAAACCGTCTCCGAATTACGTTGGTAGGGTAAGCCTTATCGTCGAAATACCCCCTGCAAAATGCTTCGTAGGTTTGTGTATCTGTCGCCGTCGCTGTGTCTTGTCTGTGCCCGTCTGGCTGTCTGTCTGCATGTCTTATTTGGCCGTCTATCGGGCTCTTGCTAACAATAACCATTCCGTTTTGTACCATCGGTCACCGTGTTTTGCCTCAGTAGATCTTATCCTGTCTTGGGGAGCTAAGATCCGGGGTCGGGTAAGAAGGATACCCCCCGTGGGGGCAAGCGTTCAAACTATCGCCAGAAGGGTGTTGCAGGAAGCTTGTTTTCATGAATCATAACAATTCAGTCGAATCTTAAATCTTGCATTCAAGATCATCCACTTCCTGGACGGTAGTAAATGTGTCGCGCTGGAATTTAAACCCACGATTTGACAATCCGAAGGTTTTGGAGGATGCCACCCGCGGAGCCGCCACTACTTTTTAGTTGGTGTGCGTCGCGAAGTCGCCAATAGTCTCTATCTGGCCCATGACTATAAATCAAGCATTTTTACATAATTGCGTTTGTTTCTTTCAATGCCTGCGGTCACTACAAAGGATGCGACCTATGATAGAAGCCGAAAGGTCAGCGCTAGTCTAATGGTTTGATTTCGGCTTCTATCGACCGTTGCGACCGTTTGCCGCGAGCATCCATGGTTTCGTGAGAACCATAGAACAGACAAGGTAGTACCTGTGCTGGGTTGCGTAGCATGCACCTGCAAGCCGGACGACAAGGTGCGGCTGCCCCTTTACACTGCTGTTGTGCCGGCAGACACTACTACCGACTCCCCTTATGCATAGGACACACGACACTGCCGTACTGCTGTACCACACGCACCCAACAATCATAATCATCACAACAGCAACCGTTTGCAGCGGACCTTCAACATCAAAGCGGGCCCGCCTGTTATAGTATACCGCAAATCGAGAGCCTTACAAAGTAGAAATCACAACCAGAGGCTCCTGCAGGCTTGTCTCGAATTGGAGGACAGCTCGTGAAGGCAGAAGACTACGTAAGTAGTGGAGAAGACTACGTAAGTAGTGGAGTGATGTTCCCGGGTGCCTACAGCTGCTTTGTACCATGTATGGATACGGCAGATACAGCAGTTAGGTGGAGATGATGTGGAGATGAGATGCTGCTTCCAGAGTGCAGAGCGCGGCAAACACCTGCTTTGGAACGAAGCTTTCGTTCGCACTTCCCACTCGGGCCCACCGTCATGGCCCGCCACCACAGATCCAGCAGTTGGAGCAGGGGATGACGGTGCTGCAGCCGCCATCTTTGTCCTCCAGCGACCGAATATCATGATGGCGCTCTCTCTCCAGAGCAGGCAACGTGAGCATGACAAGAAGCTCAACAACTCAACAAGCAGAAAAGGGCGGGGGGGGGCTCACGTGGTTCTGTGCCATTCGCGTTGCCTCCATCCCTCCGAGACAAGTTGACCCGCACAACAGACAACCAGCAGCCTCTGTGTCCTCTGGTCGTGTAGGGCCTGTGTCGAAGGAGGAGCCTCTACATATCATTCTCCAGCTCGTTGTGGGCACTGGCTTGGCATTCGTTCGCTGAGATAGGAGCCCTCCAGCCTGAAACCAGCCGTATTTTTTTCTACAGCACTCGTCGGCGAGACGGCCCGCCTTCCGAGGGGGCACTGGTGGGGCCGCGCCTACCATGGTGAGAGGCGCCGCTCAGTTCGACACCACGCCAAAGACCGAGCCATTCGCGGGACCAATGCTATAAAAGCTGTATGTTTACACGTGCGAACTCTGGGCGGGGTCTGCTGTGTTGTTGGTGTGCCGGTGGGGGTGTGGGGTTTAGACAAATCTCTGTGGTGCAAACTGCTGCGGATGCGGAAAGCCGCTCAACGCACGTTTCAAACTCACGCGGTGGGTTTTTGTTACATGTCGCTGCTGGGCATACAGCAGTAGGCCATGGACCACATGCCAAGGAGCACAGCAATGGCCTTAAAAGTACCCGAGAGCCTGCCGTATGTGTTGCTCGAGTTCGGAGAGCAAGGGGGCGTATTGTTGTACAATAGCACAGCCGCGTACGTATGTTGCATGCTCTAACAGCAACAAATGTTGGCGGAATAGCATACACACCTTCACCCTTGACACTTCACACCCGTTTGCGGTGCAATAGGGGACCCACGCTGGGAGGTGGGAGGGATGATGCTCCACGCGTCCTGGCCCTTTTCCCACCGGCCCAAATGATTCCTTGAGTCATGCCTAGGCCTGTCGTAAATCCGCACACGCGTTGACTTTCAGATCACAACATATTCTGTGTGCGAATACATTGTAGCAACGGGTTGTTGGCTCGCTTTCAAACATCATGGAACCACTCAAAATGTGCCTTAGAGCCTTTTTGGGGGTATTTAGTTGGCTTGTGACCCTGGAAGGAAGGCGTTCGCGTCTTTCGGACCAGTACGGGTATTGGAATGTACTGAACGGAGACCGGAACGAACTTTAATGTGAAGACAACAACGTCAACAACAACAACAACAACAACAACCACAACAACAGCAAGCAGTCGTGTGATCTACTTAGTAGATGATATTGAAGCACAGGCACCGCGGTGTGGATGTGTATAAGGCAGTGGCAGCATACAAGCCAAAGCCTGCCGGGGTCTTGTCGGCCGCCCCACGAAAACACTGCGCGTTGTAGTCCCATCACCGATTGTACAACACCAGTCTAGACTATTCAACATAGGCAGCAGGGTGGATGTGGATAAGGCAGTGGCAGCACGCAAGCCTAAGCCTGCCAGGATCTTGTCGGCCGCCCCACGAAAGCACTGCGCGTTGTATTCCCGTCGCCGATTGCACAACACCAGCCTGGATTATTTAAAATAGGCAGAGGGTGAATGTGGATAAGATAGTGGCAGCACACGAAGCCAAAGCCTGCCGGGGTCTTGTCGGCCGCCGCACGAAAGCACTGCGCGTTGTGAAGGCTTGTGTCCGAGCGACGCGAGCACCCGTTCTCCGCCTCTTTCAGCAGTTTTGGGGTTGTATACACCAATATTCCTGCACCTGTGTGTTGTCGTTGTCGTGCAATCATCTAACGTTGTGCGGCCTCAGCAACACTGCGTTTTGTACATCCTGACCACCCGGGGCCGGCTGCTGCTGCTGCTGTTGCTTCTACGCCGCTCCTGTTTTCCAGTCAACCATTGAACCCAAGGCTGTGCGCAGCCGATCAAAATCCCCGACCAGGTCTCCGCTCGCTCGGACGGCCTCCAAAACCAACCTTGTCATCGACACGCAGGTACCTACAGTACGAAAAGCATATTTCTATGTGTATCATACATACATGCATGCTAAAGTTGCGACGTTCTTTTTTCCCTTAGTACCAGTATATCACAATGAATCCATCTCCATCCTTTTCAGACGACTAACACACAATCACAGAGAGGCTTTTTGTATTACGGCTGTAGTGAGGGGCAAGTCGCCACTTCGTGCATGGTGCTGTTCATGGTGTGTTGTTGTTGCCCGCACTGTTTGTTCACAGAAGTGCTGAGAACTTGGCACACGGTAGGATAGAGTTCCTTCTTGTTGGCATCGATCGCTCTGACCGGCTTACCCCTTGCCACAATTCCATGTCAGCATTGATCGCTCTGACCGACTTCCCCCATATCACAAGTCCATGTCAGCATTGATCGCTCTGACCGACTTCCCCCACATCACAAGTCCATGTCAGCATTGATCGCTCTGGCCGGCTTACCCCTTACCACAAGGACAAACACGCCTCCAAAGCAAGTCGTTTTTTGTGTTGAACCGCTTCTGCGCCCCCGACCCCCACGTCTCCGCCCTAAACACTAGCTGAAGGCAACACAGCAGACATACAACCAATATTTTGAGGTCCCAGGCGTGCCCTTTTCGGCCTCATGCGAACGCGAAAACTCTTCTAATGTCGTTACGATACACGCATCTGTGGCACCGAACTTTTTTTTTTTGGGATATGTAGTTGAGGTTGTTGGCTGGGTTGTTGCTGCAGCCCGGCATGTGCCGAGACTGGTACCCCTGTTTCGTCTTACCGAAGTCTAGGAATGGGCTATTGTATGCTCACGACCTACAACGACGCCATCCTTTAATTTTTGCGCCCTGGCCCCGGGCCTCAAACCTGTTCACCAGTAGCCCCCTCCCCCCCCCCCCCCTTCGCTCCGTCTTTGGAGGACGCGTGGTCAATGGTCTAACTGTTCAGGCATGAGCACCCCCCCCCCCCATAGCTAGCGGGGGGCCACTGAGCTCGGTACCAGCAAGAAGAATCCACGTTCGTGAACATACGGTTACTAAATACGTATGCACAACGGATGGTGTAGTTTCATTGCACGCGGTACGAAGTTTCCGTCCGACAATTTATCCGCCATCGATGCATTGAACCGTCAATCATCCCTCATTGTTGGGAATCCAAGGCTGGGCATGACGCCGCGGACAAAGGAGAGCCGCTGATATCGCCGGCGAGGTTCAGCCCCATCACCGCGGGGAAGCGGCTGCTCAAGCCCTCATCCCCCCGCAAGATCACGATGAGACCGGTGGTAAAGGTGGGCAGGGTTGGTATGTATGCCACGTGTTGGCGGCAACACGAAAAAGAAGAGCCATGATGTTGAATTGTGTTTTGTTGCTTTCAGCAGCAGTGGGTTATCTTGTTGTTTTGAAATTAGCAAGCATGGCTATTATTGTCTTTCCGAACGTGCGAATTGAGAAAAGTTGGGCCTTGGCTGGTTCCACGGCAGACTAGCGCGAATTTCCGTCATCGACAGACGAGGACGACGACAACGGCAACAAGAACAACGGCACCAATTCACAATGTGCACAGCAACAGCTATTTTTCAAGCAACTACGAGGACAACAACAAACGACAAGAACAACGGCACCAATAACAAGACCAATGTGCGCAGAACAAGGACGAGACGACCTTACAACAACGTTGTACCAACCCCCCCCCGCCACAATCATGACACCGTCGTATACCCCTGCAGGAAGAGAGCATGCTGTCGAGGTACTTTTCCCAGAGCCTGCCGGCGAAGCTCTCGGCGGTTCTCTCTGTCGTGGCCATCGCCGTCGCTGCAGCCCTCTTCTTCGGGTGAGATAATTTTTGTTGTTATTGTTGTCGTCGTCGTTGATGGTGAGGCTCTTGTCGATGTTGGCTGTTGCTATTCTCGGCGGTTGCTGCTGATGTTAATGCTGTTTTTGTACCCTGTAGGATGTTGTTGTTGTCGTCGTTGTTGTTGTCGTTGTCTTCCTCGTTGATCGTGAGGTTGTTCTCGATGTTGGCTGTTGTTGTTGCTCTTGTCATTGCCGTTTTATACCGTGTCGGATGTTGTCATCGCTGTTGTTGTTGTTGTCTTCGTCGTTGATTGTGAGGCTCTTCGTGGTAAGAGGCGTGCATATCGTTTGAGCGGGCATGAACGGTGGGGACACCAGATTCTTTTTTTGCTCTGGAAAGACAACGATCACAACAACAGTCTCGGCCTCGCGCCCTTCCCCGGTGTTTCGGAACAGTTTTGAGTCTCAAGAGAGGTTCTGGATAAGCTTCAGAAAACAAACACCTTTTGGCCTGAAAAAAGACAACGATCACAACGGCCATTCTTGGCTTCGCCCCCTGCCTGTTTCTTCGGAACATTTTTTTTTTGTCTGTTTTCTGCCCCAGGGAGGGTGATGGTCCGAAGCTGGTGAAGCGTGATGCCCCCCTCTTCCCGGGGGATCGATTGAAGGGCGGACAGTACATTTCGTTCTGCACGAGCATCATCGCCACCGGGTGCAAGCCCAAGTACTTCGAGGTGCGTCCGAGAAAAAAATGTAAAGCGGGAAAAAAGAGTCAAAAACGAACTTCACAAGATGTATATAGACGAAACAAGCGCACTGCCACCCTGTGCTAACACCCAAGAAAATGTAAAACGTAAAAAAAAAAAATGCAACCATCGAAACGACGACAAAACACCCACACTAATACCGTCCGTGTAGAACACTATTGTACCAACGGAGGATTTGAGACCATTCGACCGTTACCTCCCTCAAGATGGCACCCGGCCAAGTTCCACCCGCGCTGTTTCTTAGCCGTTTGAGTGCCTGGGCCTGTCACCCCATCACACCAAACCACGACGACAACGGCAACAGCTACCATTCTACAGTACCTACCGTGTGAGTCTTCGTTCAGCCTTACACGTGCATATTCAGACATTCAGGGCAACGCTTCTTGCGCTTGTATTCGCGTGCTCCGGAGCAGCTAGGTCGCGATGGCTCTCTCGGAGTATACGGTGGAAAGTCGCCTTACGCACAGAAGGCCAAGCTGTGGACAGCGGGCACGGGCGCCAAGGGTGGCGGGGGGAAAGAGGCGTTTTACGAACTGGTGTACACCGGGGACAGGGTGGTGCTCAACAAGGACGGCAAGGTGTGGAAAAAGTGAAAAATGAAACGAATTTTGCATATTTGCTACTTAAGGTGGTACTAATTAGTGTTGTGCCCTCCCTGTTTTTCCCAGCTCATTCAAGTGAAATTGCTGACAACTGTTGTAGCCTTCCATTTTGCCCAGCTGAGTCATGCGCATTTTTCTCCCCTTTTGCGTAAAAGGGAAGGACATGCAGTCACTCGCTCATGCTGCCTGGCTTTGCTTGCGGCTGGCCGGGCGGGGCGGTTCTCCGTTGATTATGATTCGACGGTGCCCCTATGCGGCTAACAGATAGAGAGAGCCCAACGGCTCCGATATTGCGCAGATACGGCTCGTTCATGTATAGGGCAAAACCTGCCGTAAGGGAGCACAATCCATGCGATTCACTCGCTTTTGTTTTTTCCTGTTTACCTCAGGTGAAATGGTCATCTTCGGTGAAGAGCTTGCCTAAGAACATGCGGCCCTGGCCACTCGCGCAATAAGCTATCCACAACCGAGCGTGGCCTACCTCGGAAGTGATACTGCGGAGCCCCCCGGTTGCTAGCGCTGCGGAAGAATACCGTGGGTGACGTAAGATACCACACCCCCGTGGTTCGATTTTTTTTTTTGTCTTGTTCTTGTCAGTACAAAAGAAGACAAAACATTTCTCTTCCACAGCTACAGGAAGAGTCCGTTTCTTTTTTTCAAAGCTCGAGTTCTTCACGACGAAGAGGATGCATGAGTGAAACGACAAGTTTTCGGAAAGCCTGGCTCCAACGCCGCCATTTTCGGCGCCGCCAATCTTTATTCTGCTGTGGAGAAATCGAGCTTTTTTAGAAAAATCGGTCCCTGGGGTGTGGTGTCTTGTCTCACGTCACCTGCGGTATCCTTTCGCTGGTGTGGGAGGCAGGGACGGTTTTGGCAGGGCAAAGGTAGCTGCACCTGGTCCCGAAGTCAAGATGGATTTGGACGCGGGCCATACAGCCACGTTGTTGGACGATCGATGCAGAAAGAAGGGATAGGGGGGGGGGAGGGGGGGGGGGGGGGTTGATTTCCCGGGGGGCTCGCTGAGGTGAATATAGTGGGGGGTACTTGATTCACCGGGGAGGCAGGGAAGGTCCACAGTCCACAGGAGGAGCGAGTTTCGGTCTGTGATGCGCATTGCGTCACCTTGCGAACGGTTTTCTGGGTGTGTGTATGGTGT